TTGGAATATTAAAAATATTCAAAACTGACATATGACATAGAAAGGGAACTATGAGAAAGTTGGATTACCACTTGTAGAATTAAATCCAAGTTCCTCTAATATACATTTCAGTACTATATACCGGTAATTAACGAGCATAACAAACACAAAGACAATGTTGTCACCTGCTTTGTCAGCAAGGATCAGTACGTACGTACTGTTCATGTTATTTATCTAAAAAATCCACTTCTGGATTGTTGAATACAGAAGGAAAGATGGTTTTCATATTGCCCCTCAATCTTTGAATGCGCGATTTTAATATACATCTGATACATTTAATCCATTCTGACAACGTGTTCAGGCGTTCTTTTTCGTGTCTGGTCCATCGTCTGGCGTAATCTTCTACAAAATTCATAATATTTATGCAATTCCGACGCCAGTTGAAGGATCGGGAAAATAAAGAAAAAAAGAAGAAATAAAAATTAAAATTATAGTAATAATGGTGTGGAGTTTTTAAATTTATGTATACTAGTAGAAAACTCTTGAGAAATCAATGTAATAATTACGACACAAACGGGTTATTGACATAATCTGTGTTTCTATGGACAAACAAAATGACAAGGTTTCTTTTACAGTAACTGCCCATATACAGTAACAAATACCATCCAAAGCTTCAGAGGTACTATTTCAAAGGTCTTCATTATAATGCAGTATGAATTCTATGGCAACGGTGAATGTACTTGGTAAGAGGAGGGTAAAACGTCAAGATACTTATTCGAGAGGATCGTGACACGTACACATACATTATACCCCCCCTCCCACACACACACACCCAGCCACACACACACTCCCCAAATAACAGTACAAAACAAATTAAAACAAAAAGGGGTGGGTGGGAATCAGTGAATATCAAATTACCTCCCTGCGTTGTAAAATTCTATGTATCCCGTGTAAGTCACTTAGGTAAAGTATCTTTGTATTACATGTAAAAACGTAGAATTTTAAAGTGAAGATATGAATAAAGGGAAAATATTTTTTGCGAAAACAATCCCCTATTCACATGTCACGTGTAGATTAACACAGGTGCGTTTGGAAGCTTTCTGTTCCAGGCCTCACATTTTTCTCCATATGCATCTTAAGTGTCATAAAATGTTTAAGAAGCTACATTTCCCTTGTATTTTCAACCTCTATGGCTAGTGAATTTATTACCAGTGGGTTATATTCCGCCTGTAATTTCGCTTTTAAGTTCTAAGTATTTCAGTGATGTAGGCGGGAAAAGTATGGATTTTCGATGCCGTAGTCAACGTGATATGGTGTCATCTCTGCAGATCGGTGTGCGACAACTACCCCGTCTTTATCTGGGAACAACAATCAAACCCTTTTGCGCCATCATTCCTCAGTCTGTATATGATGGCTGTGCAGAAGGGACACACACCCCTCCTTGGACGGGGGATTTTTTTTGCGGATCTAATTTATTCGTTATATTCAAATTTGTCTGTTAGGTAACAAAAAACAAAAATCGCATGATTTTTTTTTTTATTGATACCCCTTAATTCGTCAGATTTAAAAGTTCGAGGGGCTAGAGGGGACACAACTCTGAAATTCTAAGTAAGTTCTAATTAATACGAGATATATGCATGAAATCTAGGTAAAACCTCAACCTCCTTATTACTTCCTGGTTGGCGCAGTCAATTGGTTGTTTTATTTTTCAGTCACGAAAGGATTTTTTTTTTTTTAGATAAATGATTTAAATTATTTGAAACCCTCTTCTAAGTTGACACAAAAACAATTAAGTAGATCTTAAAGCCGTCTAGTTGCTATCGATTTTTTTCCTGCTTCAATGCAAGGTGTTTGTTATTGTCAGCTACATCCAACAAATTTAGAAGGCATCGTCTCCAGACAGGTGCCCGTCGCTATCGGTATACATACAACATGGAGCAACAAGTGTGCTAGCGCCCCTTGATCCTCCCCATGTATAGATTGGATCCCCGCTACTCGGATCGTTTGAAAAATATTTTTCGACAACATCAACGTAAGTATATAACCGGAAAATGAATAGAAAAGAGAGGAAACTGTTAGGGCGACATGACATTCATTCATTTTTGTGGAATCTCTTTATCGATTTCTTGCAATTTCAAGTGAACATCTGCGAAAGAGGATTGTCATTATAAATAGGATAGTTTGCATAAAAATTGTCTCGGACTGCGCTTTACAGCAATATTTAACCAGATATATTTGGGGAAAAAATTCTACAAAACAGAACAAGAAATTGTATCTTTAGAGAAATTAATACAAATTTGAACTTATTATGATTTCGTGCATTTAAATTGTAATTAAAAAATGAGTAAATTAAAAGTAATAAATGGGTGGCAGTCTGGGTGAAAATGTATTAATGGCCTTTTTTAAACACACTTGCTAGTATGTATCGGGATTTTTCTTTACAGTTTCGTTTAATATTTTTACGGATGCGCCGTGAAAGAAATGATTTTACATTAAATCAGCTGTGAATGTCTGAGGAAAAGGTTAATGCTATAAATGATTTATATAAGTTTCTATATATCGTATGTTAAAGTTGAATTCGATAAAAATACGAAAAGGTTTACTCTGGATCATATTTCAGTTTTATCTGCAGATTGCATTGAGAGTCCGTCTAGCTGCCCGTATGTCTGTCAGTCAGTCCCACGATTTTCCACACTTTTTTTCTAAAAAAATACTGAACTGATATTTGGTATGTAAGTGTATCCAGCTGATGAGTTACAGATCAAGTTTGCTTTTCGTTACACTTAATTCTATAATTTTTGACGGAATTGCGGCCTTTTTAATATTTAAGCTTTCTACCTTTTCTCTTTTAAACACTTGCAACTATTGAGCTTATTTTTGGTATGTGACTTTGCCTTGATGAGTTATAGATCAAGTTTTATAATTTTGCTCCATTTAAATTCAATTTTTAGAGGGAACCAGATTACACTTGCCAGTAGGTGACTAGTATTGCTAATGCCATACTCTCAGACATCTTCGCTGGTTAAGGGTTTCTCACTGAAACGCTACTCTCCTCGTGAACGTTTATGAGGAGAGTATCGTACGACACAGCCTTGGCTAGCGAAGATGACTCTCGGAATGCTTATTTTAATCATAGAGAGTCCGTGTCTGTCAAGTGATTTCCGGAAAATTCTTATCTATACTAACTGATATTGGGGTACCGTTTCCACCCTCGCATTTTTGTTTCATTCAAAGTAGAAAAATGGAATTCATTTTCACTGAATAAAGTTTAAACTAGAGGTACAGTGAGCAATGAGATTACTGAGGTACCTCCGCCTCCCATATAATTATAGTGGCAAAGTCCATGTTTTGCTCTGGGAGACCCGAAATAAGTGTCAGATCAAAGAGTAAAATAGGAGGTGCACAATGACATAATGTAATGAAGAATCTGTGAATGCATCATTAAATTTTATTCAGTGGTATAGGAGGAGTTGCGAATAAAAGATGGGTACCCTTCAATATCATAGAAAGAATGGCAGTTCAATGTTTTGCTATGGGAAACACGTGATAAGTTTCCGAGTAAAATAGAACGTGCACAATGGCACTATATACAAAAAATTTGTTTAAATATTCATGTAAAGTAGGATGAAAAAGATTTTAATAATAGTTATTGTTTTATTGCTATGCACGTCATAGTACATTTCATTGATGGAACAGCCACTGATCCAGAAATCTGTACAAGTGATATATGCTTATACATCAGTGTAGTGTTGTTCATTAATTGATAAACGGCAATGGTTTTTTTTTTAAAGAAATAAAGGAGAAAAAATATTCAGCGGATGTAAAAATATCAAATTCCATGTAAAATTGTACATTAATTTGGCAATCAATGTAAATTCATACTGGTTCAATTGTTCTGGTGCTGAAAGTTCCAAAATCATTGTTACCTTATAAATTATATGTTTGAATTATGAATGTCTGGGAAACCATTTTACATTAGAAGTGCAAAAAGGAAAATGCCTGTATAAAGATAAATGTGAGGGAATTTATTGCCATTACATGTAGCAACATTTTTTAAAGGTCGACGAATTGATAAAAATAGAGAAAATATTCAATTCTTATTCTACTGACAAAACAACATTTTTCATTTTGCAAATTGAAAAGAATTCTTCCAAAAGATGTATTTCTATTGGGTGTGCATTTAAGTTTATTACAGTTTTGCATAGATTGAATCATGCGTATACGAATGGGGGAACTGGATACAAAGTTCTAACCAAAATATAAAGAAAAAGATTGGAATTTCAAATAACACTCGCTACGATGTACTGTAAATTTGATATAAAAGAAGAGTGGACTTTCATTTGTAAATATGTTTCTTTCCTTTTTTTTTTAAATCTATAGCTATATTTTTGACCCAGGTGAGCTTTGTAACCCACGGGCCTATTGTTCACTGAGAGAAATTTTGTATGATCCATCATTCATTGGATGGCTAGTATCACGAGTCTGAAAGTTATGCATATTAATTAAGTTAATTGCATATTTGTTAGCATTAGATTTATAGCAATATAGCCTAAATGTAGACCTAGCAGTAGGCCTAGATCTAGCACTTTAAAAAATCACATCAAAACTTCTCCATGTTCTCTTGGTATTTTATTTTTTTTTGCTTTACTACTCTTTAACATAGACTTGTTCGTGTTTTTAATGCTGAGTCGATGGATTGTTTATTTTCTATAAACATGCCAAATGCTAAGCGCATAACATGGATTTCACATGTATAACAGGTGACTGACTTCTTCGAGCGATGGCTCTCCAAAGTGTTTACGTCACCTCATGTAAACCTTGACCTCTGATCCCACCTCATACCACATTCCCAAAAAACAGAGATAACTGCCTTAATATTAATATATAATGATTTATCGTTACTCTAGGTGGTTAGAATTGTAAGTTTCAATAGATTTCATATTTAAATCCTTATGTTGATTGTTCATGTTGCTTGAAAATATGCTAGAATGAGTTTCACACCCAGTTGCATTATGGGAAATTCCGTACATTGCATTATGTGGTAAAGTGGGTCAGATAAATTTCAGTGTAATGAGGTCTGTGGCTATGTTGCAAAACGATTGATTTAGTGCTGAATTTGTTATTATTTGAAGCGATACATATAAGCATGGATCCATCAGAAATGGGTATGTATACATTGTGACGTTTGAGCATTTAAAGTGTTTGTCATGCAGAAAACATTCGATAATCGCACCCAGTACAAGAAATAAACATTGGCTAAACTAGCCGCCATTTTGAAGTATTTGGGGTTGAGCGTACCTGTAGAAGGGTTCATCGGGAACATTTTTTGCCGTAGCTCTAATTGTTTATGGGAGATCTAAATAGGCTTAATGTTTTGGAAATAATTTTACCACCATTTTAGTGTAAATTTAGAATAAGCTGGGAGGGATAGTTTTGGGTTGTAAATCTGGCTAGGTCATGTTGCCTCGCGTCTCGTGCCCTCTGAATGAACTCCATTCAAACATTCCAGGGAACAAGCATAGGAGCCATGTTTGATAAATTAGAGAAAAATTAATCGATATTTACACCTTTTATAACCAAAGCCATATTTTAAGAAATGCTTTTACGATATGTTAAATCAAATATACACGTTTCATTTGTTATTCATGTTTTATGTAAATATGGTGTGTAATAGACAGTTATTTACCTGTAATACTGTGACAGTTTGGCATATTGATTGTAAGTCATACAGAAGGAAATCTGTTCAGTCTTAAAAAAAAAATAGTGTTCATTTATTACTTGTGTAAATAATAGTTAAAATAGTGTAAATTAATACTTCGATTAAATTATAGTCGAACATTTCATTGTTATGTAACTCAAAGGGATATAAATGCATGCTTTCATAGAATTGCATAACTTGATATGACATGTAAATGTTTATGTTAATTCTCCAAGCAAAACAAGTAGGAAATGAAAATTGTCACAACAGAACATAAAATAATTCAAATTGCTAGGTGCGTGCAATATAAAACAATTATCATGAATATATTAATTTACCAAACAGTTTAGAAATGCATATGTCAGAATCAAAATTACAGATTTTATAATGGGTACGTTAAGTTAGTACATAATTGTTTCTCTTCCAGATTCTCTAGATGGGGTAAGCAGCAACTCGAGCATGTCAACAGCTGCCAGTATGAACATGGGGATGTCGCCCTCAATGGGAGTCAGCTCCATGGCACAGATGGGGTCCCCACCAGACATTAAGCCAGATATAAACTCTCTAGTTTCACCTTCATTTTATCCCTACGGAATTCAGCACCCTATGTCCCAGTCACAAGCTTCCCCTGGGTCCCAGCCCATGATGTCGCCAGGTTTGCACTCACCCTCTTCCTCAGTTACATCCCCCTCCATGATGTCCATTGGTTCACCTGGGTCTGCAGCCTCACCCCCGGGGACAAACCCACACATGCCACACAGTAATCTCAACAGTAAACATATCTGTGCTATTTGTGGAGACAGAGCTTCAGGGAAACATTATGGAGTTTACAGGTATATTTTTAGTTTCTATAGAAATTCAAAATAAACAATATAAAAGGTGGGGCTCAACTTGTTCTTTGGCTTTCTTTGGCACTGTTCAACATGTGGGCTGTCTCCTGGTAATAAAAGATGGTTTATAATTTTTTTTTTCTTTATTTTTAGTTGTGAAGGTTGCAAAGGATTTTTCAAAAGAACAGTGCGAAAAGACTTGACGTATGCTTGTCGAGATGATCGTAATTGCATTATTGACAAGAGGCAGAGGAACCGATGTCAGTACTGCCGATACATGAAGTGTCTGAACATGGGGATGAAGAGAGAAGGTATGCAGCTCATTGTCAACTGCACCAGATAGCCTCTGGAAGCATAGTATTCAGAGAGAGCTTGTATTTATATTTAATTTTCAAACTCCCCTGATACTCATACAAACTGCATGGCTGTAATAAAATGTTTAAGTTAATTCATCAGCTCTAAGTATATGTGGTTGGGTGATGCACTTCTTTAGGGTAAGATACTAATGAATTTTAATGGTGTGCAAAATTGAAAAAAAAAATGGTAAAAAATACTTAAAGAGGTAAACTATCATATAGTCCAATCCTTATATACTGATTGGTTATATGGTTATGGTATGGTATTATTGCACACAAACAAATATGATCACAACTGATGATTTGATTTATATTTTGAACTAATTTATTACGAGCAGCTTAGGGACTTTCCCTCCCTGAAGATAAAATTTTATTAGATCTGGATATCAAACACAATAATATTTGTTAACATATACGATTTTGAACTAAAAATATTGCAATTTGAATTGCTTTTTGATTGAGAAATTGTGTGCACCTTTAACAAGGGATATAAGGGATGCCCATTTGTCTGTTTTTAGGAATAAGAATGATGCAAAGAAATGCGAGACCAAATTAAATATATGCTATAGTTATAAACACTGTGCAGTATTATCAGTATCATTCACCTGGTCAGTCACTAACAGAGTGTTACTCAGCACATTTATATCACTAGGTGCAGAAGGTCAGATACAAATGAAAGCATCGCTTGTAGAACCGTGTCATACCTCATTAATGTTCGTCCTGTCATTTGCATGTGTGTTGGTGAAAATATTGTAACTTTGTATTTTGTAATGCATATTTATTTTGGGGAATGTAAGCTAAATCATCAGGTCAAGTTTTGCCAATAAAATTGTTTGAATCTGTGTTAAGGACATGAGACAGGGGTGGCACACTTGTTAGGTGCCATTCATATGACATCTGTTCCCCCAGATTATGTTTGTGGTCTGTGAAGGGTTTTGTGTTATTTCACATTTGCTTCATGTTGATATTACAGATGTTAAATGCAGCACTGATGCAGGGCGCCAAGGATCATGTACGTAGGAGTGGTAAATAGGGTAGAAGGGAGGGGAGAGAATTACCATCTGTACATGTGTTTGGCATTGGCATTAAATATCTCCATCTCTCTGCAATGAATTTTAAAATCCTTTTTTGAAATGTTTTTCCACTGAAGTCAAACTGTGTCTCATGAAGTCTTCACAAATAGAGCTTTCCAGGCACTGTAAGAATGCCAGCTTAAAGCTTTGCTTTTAGAACATTCAAAATTAAATTCACTTTTCCCCTATCTTCTGCCTGTTCATTAGATTTAATTAAGTTTTACAGGAAAAAGACAGGAATAGAAACTTTGTGCAAAAAAAAAAAAAAAAAAAAAACAATGAAATTTCCTCGAAACTATTTTGAGAATTGGAAAGTTTTTAGGGCATGTATTGCCAAGCATATATTTACATGTTCTAGTACTAAACTACTGTAGTGACAATTCTCTGTGTGGAAGGGTTACTTAATACACTATTATCTGTTAACTTTTCTTTCCAGTGACCTTAGAATTGGTGTTCCCTGATTGGTCCATTCAAAACTTTTCCAGGGCTGTGATTGGTCTAATTTCACCTATTTACCACTTCTGCATGCCTGATTGATAAAAAAAATATGTCTTACAAATCTGAAGTATTTATTGTTAGGATATATTGACTTCTGATAGGTTGTTATTTACTTAGAATGGATTAACTCAATCATGAAATGATTATTAATTTATTTACAATTTCATGGAATTGATCATTTGGATTGATTGTTATTACTTTTAGCTAAAGGCTGATTTTACTTCACACCAGATGCAGTGTTGCTTGCAAGTGCATGATTACTTTTTATCTTCTGCATAATTCAAAGATTACTAAAAAGCTAGTTATCCTCTTGAAATATTAAGAATGTTATTTGGACTTTGAAGAAGTCTTGCTGAGACTGCCATTTCCTAGGCACTGATATTTAGATCCTGTTAAATCTGGAAGAGAACATGTCCATTGTAGTGGTAACAGCATGCACCATATTACTGGGCTAGATCTGTAGTTCAAACAAGAACACACGCCATACTTTGGCTGTATCAATATTTTTTGTGAAACACCATGCATGGAGTTGAAGTAGAAATTGCTCATCTACCCATAAAGCTTCAGATTGAAATAAAAAACTCGATCTTAAGACTCTTAACAGACGATCACAATATTTCATCTCTGATTCCAAACAGCACTGCACATTAGATCACTCAGTTCATAGAAGTCCCATTTTCATATTCCAACACAGACTTGGACATCTTTTGAATTCTAAAAAACTAAGTCTTCTGACAACTATATCTTAATAAACGTGTAGTTTATGCTAGAATACATGTGTAGTCTTAACAGCTAGACCGGTGTAGGTGAGCAGAACTACCTTTTCTAAACAATCAGTTTTTAATTAAACCCTGTTGATGACCAGAGTCTTTGTTTTGTTGACAGCTGTCCAAGAGGAGAGACAGAGAGTGAAGGAGAAGGGGGAGGGGGAGGTGGAGAGCACCAGCAGTGCTAACTCGGACATGCCTGTAGAGAAGGTCCTGGAGGCTGAATTAGCCGTGGAACCAAAGACAGACACCTATATAGATGCTCAGGTGACAACCAGTTCATTTATTCTGACTTACGAAGAGATTGAAGTTTTTTTTTTCTTGAAGACTTGAATCATCTTCTAAATGTCAGTTATTTTCATGTTTATGTTTTTCATACTCTGTCTTTCAAAATTTATCTCAAAATTTGAGGAATGTTATCCAAGCTACGACAATGCAAGATAGTGTAAATGAAAGTAGTTGATAGGTTAGAAACAGTGGCATGAGACTGACTGTTAATCTCTAAATAAACAAGATACATTCTTTTGTTACCACAAGAAGCATTGCATCATTTAGTCTGTCTTCAATGTTAGCTGTAATCTCCAGATAAAGGGATGGCCTTTTGTATCTCTATAGTAATTCACTTGTTTGAAATGAATTTCAGCCTTTCCCCCAATCCTATCCATTTCTTTTATCCATTAATGTAATAACTAATTAATTCAAAAATAGGGAAACAACATTCAGTTAAGGGGAAAAAATTAAGTACATTATATATTTGAATGTTTGCCTTTAAGAAAAGGTACAAAATAATGATTTGATGTGTTTATATTTAATCTATTGTTTTATGTTTCATATCATTAAATAATATTTTATTGCCAAAGCAATTCAAAAAATAAATTTTGCAATTTATAATGCAAGGGAAATTTTTGTGTTGCAGAAAGATGCAGTAACGAATATATGTCAGGCAGCAGACAAGCAACTGTTTACACTGGTGGAGTGGGCCAAACGAATACCTCATTTCACCGAGCTGCCTCTAGACGACCAGGTTATACTACTGAGAGCAGGTACGTTCCAGACTCTCAAAAAAAAGTTACGTAATGACTGAATTCAAAGAAATATTGTTAATTCATCATTTTTCATGATACAGTGAAATCTCGTTATCTTGAAGTTGAACTCTTTGGGACCAGTGAAAAACTTTGTAATATCAGATGATTAAAGATATAGAAGGTAAATGTGGTTGGGACTACCAAATCTCTGACATCCATGATACAGTAATTGGAATATCAATGTTCGAGGCACCAAAGTTCAACAATTCTTACTCTTAGTTAAAGGGAAACAAATCTTGTTTATAAATTTTGTTAATGAATGGCACCACTCTATTTCCAGGTTGGAATGAGCTACTGATAGCTGGTTTTTCACATCGATCGATTGTCGTTAAGGACGGTATACTGCTAGCCACTGGTCTACATGTACACAGAAGTAGTGCTCACCAAGCTGGTGTCGGAACCATTTTTGACCGTGTCCTCACAGAACTTGTCGCTAAAATGCGAGAAATGAAAATGGATAAAACAGAGCTGGGATGCTTAAGAGCTATAGTTCTGTTTAACCCAGGTCAGAATCTAGGGTTCACTTATTCTAGTTCAGATTTAAGACAATTATTAAGTCAGTTTTAAAACATACATATACACTGGTATTGCAATAAAGATTGTCAAATCACTTAAAAAAGGATGTCTGATTTTGTATTATTATTTTGCAGATGCTAAAGGGCTTTCTGCTGTTTCTGAGGTAGAACAACTGAGAGAGAAAGTGTATGCTTCACTTGAAGAATACTGTAAAACGCACTACCCTGATGAACCGGGGCGATTTGCCAAACTACTGCTTCGATTGCCTGCACTTAGAAGCATAGGGCTCAAGTGTTTGGAACACTTATTCTTTTTCAAATTAATAGGTGATACTCCGATAGACACTTTCCTCCTAGAAATGTTGGAGAGTCCCTCCCCAAGCAGCACCTGATGAGGGGGTGCCACGCCCCCCTGGAGCGAGTGAAGAGGAGACATTTTCTCGTAAATGTTGTCAAGGCAACTCTAGTTTTTAAACCTTGAATTACTTCTGATGAGTTTGTCTATAAAGCCAGCTCTGACAGACTCAGTTTATGTACAGGATCAGTTTATGTCTGATACTTTAGATACAGTTAGACTATCCTCCCCGGTGTCAGGCTATATATAGTGCTAAAAATATCACATTTAACAACTTCAAAATTACACAATTAAGTATCATGAAAATATATGATATTTTTTATCTGATATCTCTTAAATCAAAATGTATTAAATATGATACAGCTGTGATTATACTAGTATATGATAGTCAGAGGTAATTCTAGATGAAACATCAAAAAAGTCGTATACATTCACATTTCATATGATTCATGTCCTTTTGACAAGTATTCCTTTTTTTAGGGAAATTGTCAAACACAATTGCAGCTGGGATTTTTTGTAAGATTGGTTTATGTGACATTTTATTGAAATTGTTTTCATTTATTCTCATAAATGAATTGACTTACTCCTGTTGATAACATATGGCACATAGTACTGCCTCCTGAATCATGTCAATGAATGAATGAGTAAATGACATCTTCTGAAATAACTCTGATTCATCAACAATATAAATATAGAAGAATGCATTTATTATAGATTACATATTTATCTTATCGAAAATTCAGTGATAATTGAAAATTTAAGAATGTGACCTTTTTACCATGAAAAATGAAAATTGTTCAAATATTTTTTCCATTTGTGAATTGAAATGCAAGTTTTGGCAAGAAATTTTATGATATATGTGTGGTTCAAGATATTCTCTTATGTAACATATATGTGTTAAATGATTGCTGTTTAAAAAATGGGGATATAAGAAAATACCCACTATTGGTCAAATTAAGTGTTAAAAGAAACGAATTGGCAAATAATCACGAATGTTTAATTTCACTATGTTCGCGATTTATCATTTTTCCGCGAAATTAAACCCATCATGAATGCTATTATTAGTTTTAAAAACATTTAAATGCTTATATGAAATTTGAATTAATTTCTTGCAGCGTGAAATTAAAACCTTCGCAATTGGTACTTTCTGAGGTATTGTGAAATTTAAACGCAGTGGAATTAAACCAATTTACAGTATATCAGAATTTCTTGAAATTTATTAGTTAACTGTGGAATAGTAGCATCCATGGAATGAGAAACCTTCTTATTGTAGACGAAGATTTCTATAAAAAAGTATTGGCCATATTACCTTCTGTAAATAATAATAGTGGAGAATAAGAAGATTAATTTTTACATGTTCGGGGATTCAAAATTGGAGGCATTTTCAATATCTTATTCTACCTTATTCCTTGAGAAGAAATTCATCCATGTGTTTAGTGGCCTTGTAACACTGATTAAGGTTAAAGCTGGTGATGATTTTCACAACTCTGAATACAATGTATGTACTGTTTGTATCAACACAAAGGCACATGGTTTAAATGTTTTTTATCGTACTTTGTTTGAAAAAGTGGAGGTGAATTGTATGATTTTCTATTCTGTATTTTATCCTGATGATTCAGATTTGTCCAGGTATCAAAGGAGTCGTGATTTGTAAAGATCATTTTCCATTTGTCCCTCTGTCCCCACCACATTATGTATATTCATGAGTAATGCTTGACAACGTGCGAATCCTACCATTGTTAATACACATTACAGTAGAACACAGTTATGATAAACCACATACCACAGTCAAAATGATTTATATCCAGTGTTTATATCATTAACTTGTATTCTGGAGACTAGAAGCAGGTTTGCTATAATTTTGTTTTACCGTTGTGGTACTTTCAGTGGTTTTTCCCCCCTGTTGATACACATTTGTAGGATAAACTATTAATGAGGTGATTATCAAGAGATTTTATTATTTAGTGGTATATAGTGCTATGTGTGAGAGACTGAGTTTATACTGACTGTCAATATCAATGTGTGTGATTTCTGTCCAGCTTGTTTGAGTGTTAAATTGTTAAGTCATATATAATTTGATTTTCTCTCACCCAAACTGAACTCAGAACTCGGTTTTTGATTATGAACGGTGTTCGCTACTCCTCCTACAGTTTTGGTCTGATTTCAATATTACTTGGCACACAATGTGATTTATCTTGAACAGTGTTGTTTTTGGAATAAAACGTGGAATCAAATGTGTATGGTGTTGCCATGAAATGCTGATTTGATACATAAAATAAGTTTGCCATGGTTTAAAAATAAAATTTTCTTTGAAATCCATTTAAAATGCATTTAAATAATATTAAAGTTTATTTGAGGTAAATCGTATGTTACTCAAAATTGAATTTTCTTTGGGGTAGTTTTGGGATGGCAAATCCTTTGTTATAAGTAGAAATTGTACCTGGTTGGAATGTGGAATCAAATGTGTAATGAAATGCTGATTTGATAAGTTTGTTTTAAATATTCATGCATTTAAAATTTTTACAATTTGCATGATTTTGAGGATTTACGGTATTTTATTATAGAAACATTGTTTTTCTTTTATAGAACTATTTTTGGGAGATGAGGTTTTGTAGGTTTGCAAAGAGGACATATGATGTCCTAAGGTTTGTTAATAGTTTTACTGTTAAGTGCTAACTTTTTATCAGATCATATGTATATATTGTACATTATTCATTTATGTAGATGAAATCGTTATTTTACATAAAAATACAATATGTTTAAATGAAATCTTGTTCAGAACTTCTCATTTCTACTCAGCCAGATGACATCTGGATTATTATATAGAGGGGGCAACTGGAGGGGACTGTTTCCTTACTGTCTGTTTCCCCTGTATCAGTGGTTCAGCTTTTGGCTCACCTGAGCTTAAAACTCAAGTGAGATTTTCTGATCACCCGTTGTCCATCGTCCGTCCATCCGTCTGTAATTTTTTTTTTCACATTTAAAACTTCTTAGGAACCATACCACTGGGCCAATTTTAACCAAACTTGGTACAAGCATCCTTGGATGAAGGGCAGTTTAATTTTGTTAATATGAAGGACCAAATCCCCTTCCAAGGGGAGATAATCAAGAAAAGACAAAAATAGGATGGGGTCATCAAAAAGTCTTAAGCACCACTGGGCTAGAAAAGTTGAAAATTATGTGGAAGCATCCTTGGGTAGTGTAGATTCTAAGTTATTCAAATCATGACCCCCGGGATTTCGTTTGCTTATGTTCTCAGAACGTTCTTGTCGGTACTTTGATTGGGAGACAGGTAAAGTGTGAACAGAGTGAGATCTGTATAATGATTCGGTACTGAGGGTATGCAGTTTTGATGATAAACAAATAATTGGCTGGAAGTGCTGATCGAACACACATCTATGAATGTTCTGTAGATTACACCGAGTACATACATCATAAAAGTTTTCTTTTAACGAATACTATGATAATTAATTTTCATGTCTTGATTTGAAAATATTTTCTTTATCTATCTATGTATACTTAAAATAAAACATTTTCGTATGTTTTTGCTAGCAGTAAAAACCAGAAGTCTCTGATGAGACTGTAGCTTTACTGGTCTGTACGTAATTACATATAACAAAGGAAAAGTAGCACTTGGATTTGAAACTTTGCAACATGCTGCAATAAATTGAATAATGTATCTTAGTGTACTACTTGTGTGCTAAGTTAAACTGAAATCAGGACAAAACTATTGGAGGAGTAGTGTTTTAATGGAATTTCACAGAAATTCTATTTTTAGTAACCATGGCAACATCATTCATCGAAATCAAAAACTGATGCACTAAATTATATCTTTGTGTAGTCTACTTGTGAAGAAAGTTATATTGAAATTAGACCAAAACTGTAGGAGGAGTAGCGTTTTAAAGGAATTTTACACAAATTTCCTATTTTTAGTAACCTTGGCAACACCGTTCATCGAAATCCAAAACCGATGAAATAATTTATGTATCTTTGTGTATTCTACTTGTGTGCCAAGTTATATTGAAATTAGACGAAAACTGTAGGAGGAGTAATGTTTTAAAGGAATTTTACAAAAATTTCTATTTTTGGTAACCATGGCAACACCCTTCAAGGAAATCCAAAACAGATGCACTAAATTATGTATCTTTGTGTAGTCTACTTGTGTTTTAAGTTATATTGAAATAGACGAAAACTGTAGGAGGAGTAAGATTTTGAAAAAAAATGTTTACAGACAGACGGACAGACAGCTAGACAGCTAGACGGACGGACGGACACATTACTATCGCATAAGCTCTTCTGGTCTCTGACCAATAGAGCTAAAAATCATGATGGACTGTCGAGTGATTAGAAGATCTTGGACCCGTCGATGAGATATTGGACTTATATGACGTTATTTTTTACGTCATACTATCTAGCTATAATCTTATTAATTATTGCAAATATTGAAGTCAGCGAAAGATATTTATTCAATTAAGTGTCACAAATTATTTATGTGTATAGATTGTTATCGGACAAAATGCGTTTTGTCCACCCCTCAAACCAAACTTTGTGCCTTCGATATAATACCTCGAGCAAACGGTTTGGTTCTTGGCTTGGACAAAACACGTTGCCCTCGAATCCAGGCAGTAAATATATAATTTATTGTAGTTTTTTTTTCTAACTTAAAAATGTTAAAAACTCCAAGTACATGTTTTCGAGTTGTAGGTAAATTAATTAATTACACCTTGTAGGGATGCTTCGTTATTGGAAATGCTAGTGACTATGGCGATTGATATCAACTAGTCATCATTATCAATTAAGGATGGGGTCATTGCCTTGTCGAGTATTTACATATACCGAGTATATATGATACATGTACGTAAATAATTGACGCACTAATGTAGTATTTCATCATTGAAATGTAAAACTTGTTGACTATACTGCATGTTTTAGTATCACGGAACCACGATCTCCTGTGAACTGTCCTGCCTGGACAACGTGAATCTAAACCACGTCATGTAATGCCCTGTTCACACGGAGAGCTTAATTCGAATTAAACGTAAAGTTACTATAATCTTATTAATTATTGCAAATATTGCGTTCAGCGAAAGAATTTAATGCGAATTAGTTCACAAATTAATTAATTTACTGCGCATTAAATTACTTCGCATTAGCCCCGTGTGAACGCTAAGAGAAGCTAATTCGATATTAAATTTTGACGCAAGCGTTTGGCCAGAATTAAGTCACAGGACACGTATTGGTGGTTATATATAGGTATTTGTGCTATATTTGGTTCAAAAATTGAAGGAAAGTATGTTAATCACTAAAATCAATGAATACCTATAGCCACTACATGATGGCTCTGCATACATGACGTGATTTACAAATGACGTCATAATAGACTTACTGACGCCTGACTGTAGAAGAAAAAATTTAATTCGCATTAGTTTACTTCGCATTAGCTGTCGTGTGAACGCAATTTAATTCGCATTAGTTTAATTCGCATTAGTTTACTTCGCATTAATTTACTGCGAATTAAAGTCTCCGTGTGAACAGGGCATAAAATCATTCCCAGTGCAACAATTAAATCATAATTTTAAGAGTTATCCTTCCTGGCTGACAAATTTCTCCCACTTTACAAGGAAAATATAATTTTTTTTTAAAGAAACGTTATTTGCAGATACATAATGCATTAATGGTGAGATCTATTCACCTTTATTCAACTTCATGTATGTTAATTTTTATGCCCCGATACTGTCTTTCTGTCTCATTGTCCGCAAAAATTCAAAACTTGCCCATAACTTTTGAGTGGTAGGGACTTTGGCTCAGTTTCATATTGATTTTCACAGGTGTATGCCTTGTGACAAGACCTTTCTTTGGGTATCATCAAATTTGACCTCTTGACCTTGGAGTTTGACATACTTTTACAAAAATACCATGCTTTTACCTTGGTCATAACTTTTGAACAGTTAGAGCTAGGGCTTTCATACTTCACATTTATATTCACTGGAACAAGACCTTTCAGTAATCATAAATATTTTTGACTTTTTGACATTGATTTTCGAGTCTGGCCTACTATTAAAAAAATTAACCTTTGTACATAATTAACTTTGTACATAACTTTTGAACAGTTAAAACCAGGGCTTTCATATTTCACAGGTTTATTCCTTGTAACAAGACCTTCCTTTGGGTAACAACATTTTTGACCTTTTGACCTT